ACTTGGTTCTGAGATTTTGTATTCATTTATACAGGATATTCATTTATACAGTATTCATTTAGACAGGTTTGACTGTATTGAGTTTAGTTTATATCACTACAATTAACAACACTAATTATTTATAAACATATATAAATAAGCTTATATTTTAGAATGAATTTCTAAATAATGCTACATTCACTATTTTGCAACAATACTATACTAATATGAATCAAGAATAATAATTTGAAAATGATCACTAGAGTTTTTAAAAGATGCATAAATCTGCTCACTCTAAAAATATTTTTGCTTATTGTCTTCATAAGATAAAATGTGACTTTAATCATTTTTAAAAGTTAATTATAATACAAAAAAATATTTTTAAAGTAAACAAATTTATGCACTGCAGTTCTCTAGATACTCTAATAGCCACTATCTTAATAATGTATAATTTTTATTTTTAATAAATGAAATTTTAAACAATCAAGTAATTTAATTGTATTTATTATTACCAAATTGTATATAATCTATATATTCAATTATATATAATATTCCTATAAAATATCCTCTATTTTTTTTCAAAAATTTGTATTTTTCTTTTTATCAAAAATGCTACCAAGATGATCTTGTGCATGCAATCTAAGCAAAGCATACAATTCTTATATTAAATACCTTTAAACTAAAAACTAAAGAATATATAAGAAAAATCAATGTATGAGTTCAAATATCCAAATTGAAAAAATCAAAATTAGAAAAATCCTAATTGGAAAATCTAAATTAAAAAAATCTAAATTAAAAAATACAAATTAGAAAAATTTGAATTAAAAAAATTAAAAAAGGATAAAAAGAGATTAAATGCCTAAGCTGAATTAATAATAAATAAAATCTTAGTTATTTGAAATCATAACTTTCATTATATTTTCTTTAGTTTAGTTAATAAATTCTTGTATTTTTTTCATTAACGCCTTTTTCGTCATGTTTTTTATAACATATATTATTTTTTTTATTTGTTTATTGCACAATAGATATCTGATAAAATTTGATCAATGTTAGAAGAACTGGTTATTGTAAGAGTTATCTCATAATCATTGTTATAATATAAGAAATGTATTTAAAGACTGACTTTTCACATTAATAAAGTTTTGATATTTCAATAGTTAAAAATAAGAAAAGAACAATTTCTCAATTACTGCTTTTATTAAGCTTATGATATTAATTTACATATGATGTATTAATTAATTTTCTCTTTCACTATTATTATTCTTAAAAATTGTTAATATTACCCCTGCATTATACAACTCTGTGCTTATTTGTTAATTACTTTGATTTGATATTCTTTAACTGATTAGACAATCAATCATAGTAACTAGAATACTGATTGTATGCAATTTTGGATATCATGTAACAAATATATCAAGCTTCAAAAATTCATATAACTTAAAAAAATACAAACAAAATAATAACAATAAGCAATAAATTAATCATTTTATTTATTTTGAATAATCAATAAACATAATATTTATTACAGCTAGTGATGGGAATTGTAAAAGTTAATAAGGAATTGTTAAACATTTAAATTATTCAAATGTGTAGAACTTTGTCATCGAAAATAGAACCAATAATTTTATAAGTTTTATATTTTTATCAATATTTGAATTAAATACCTAAAAACTATTGACAATATTATTTATCAGTATAATGGCCAATCTGCACAAGTATTAAATTAATTGATTAAACTTATATTTACTCATTGATAATATCATTCTATCAATACCTTCTATGCATTTGGGCAATCCAATTATTAATTGCTCAAAAATATTTATTAATTTAACAATTCCCTATTAACAAATAATAATCATCATTAAATCCATCCATACAAACAGTTCAGTAATAAACCTACCTTGATCTACTCTAAGGTGACATAGGTTCACGTGATTATACCGTTACGCTGTTCGGCTGTGGTCAATTGTGGTTCAACAAGAAGTTCCGATTCTGAGTTGTAGTGGAGAGACTCAAGCCGTGGTTTTGCAGTATTTGATAGTTAGTGTGATAGTAAGCTGTATTGAAAGGTTCAAGTAAAACAAGACATACCTACGACCATAAACCCACTTGCCAAATGCCTGTTCGTAGGTTACACGACGTCTCAGATTTTGGAGCGACTGACTCGCCGTTCAGCGGTAGCACTATCGAACTATTTGTTACCATTTGGATTCATTATGTTTTCTTAAATAATTTTTTGTCGTTGTGTCCTGGATTCAGAAGTTTAAGACTTTTTGCTCAAATAGATAATTAGTGTTATAATCTTCCGGAAGAGCATTAAAAATAAAATCTACAAGGTTTTCTAGTGCAATTGCATTTTCTTGATTAGTTTTCATAATCTTATTTTGATTTTCTTTT